GTGGTGAGGGCAGGTGGTGGTTGATGGTAGAAAGGTTTTTCTTTCACCAGTTCAAAAGCCCTTTGTAGGAATGAACTGGCTTCAGTATGGCTCTTTACAGTGTGAAGTATTTAGTGTCTCTTTACTTCTCAGCTTTGGGCCTCAGTGTTCATGCCTGCCTGGTGTGCTCCAAATCTAGGGTTACTCACTTGTAACCACATTGCATTATTCAGGCTATTTGTGGGCTGGGCACTGTCTTAATACATTCCTTCCATACACTGCTGTGAGGGAGACTGAAGGCAGAGCATTCTTTCAGGATGTGGAGTCTTCTGTGAGTTGTCCTCTAAGGACCTGGAAGCAGGGTCATCTGCTGAAGAATAAGCTTTAAAAAGTTGACGCTGAAGCAGAGATAAAAAAAAAGTCACTTTAAAGAAATCAAATGTTGCTCAGGCAGTTAGGACTAGACTTTAACCTGATTGATTGTACTGACTTGTTTAGAGAACAGACAGGGGAAGTAGAGATGGTCAGCCATGGACTAATAAAAAAGGAGATAGATACAAATGCAAATGGTGTCCAATTAAGGATGGGTCACAGAAAAAAAGAGATTAGGAGTGGATTTTAAATATTCTTGAGTCAATGGCAAAGCCAGTCTTAAGGTGGCATGGGTAAAGTTCATTGGTAGTTTCATGGCCTTGGCATATCTTCACTCCTGTTGGGAAGACCATCCTCTTGAAAAATGGATACATAATGTTATCTTAACCTGATGAGAAGAAGAGCTTGAAAGAACTGTGTTTCTAATTTTCTTCCCAATTCCACATTTACCAATCAATGTTCTGAGGATGACATGACTTCCCATGTTGGTTAACCCAGAGGGTGAGTCATGTAGACTTCAAGGGTTGTGGTCCCTTTTGTACTATAAATAGTAAAGGGGCATTCTGATTTTATGCATCATAAACTTGGTGAGTGTAGTGCAACCCTCAGAGATGGACTTGTTCTTAGCAAGCTGATGAAAAAAGTCTGCGGAGCCCATGAGCCAGGCACCAAACTGTTGTATGGTAAGAGTCCCCAGACTAGTAAGTGCTGTTCTCCGAGGCCTCTCGGGAGAAGTTACTTACCTTCCTTTACTCAACATCTACCACCCACCCCAGTCTACCTTCTTTGAACACAACTGTGTTTTTGTATATAGAACATAGAAGGAACATGGGTTTTGACATCACAAGACCTGGATATGAACTCATCTTTTCTACTTTGTAACTGAGTAACTTGAAACAAGTCACCTAACCTCTCTGCACCTCAGTTTCCCCAGTGGTAAACTGGAGGGATAGTGTATACAAGACACATACTACCATCCCTGAAAAACAGCTGATACTCAGGAAGCTCTTATTACAAATGTTGACAAGTGAGAAGGAGATTAACCTCAGGATCACACTGTGGGAAGAATATTCCATTGAACTCACTCCTTTCCCTCCAAGCGGTAAGAAAAAAATATCAGATGCTGTTCTATTAACACTCCTTTTACCTCCTACTCCACCCTCTCCTACTCTTTACCTAGTGAGAAAAAGGCTGGAAACCCAGCCTTTTGCTATATTTACTTTTCTCTTCTCCATTCTTTAGACTATGAACTCTTTGAGGAAAGAGTCTTTCATTGTGTCTTCTCACTGTCTAGCACAAATGGGAGCCACAAATGGGAGTCCATATAAAATTTTACATTTCTTAGCAGCTACACTAAAACTAAAACAGATGAAATTAATTTTAGTATTATATTTTATTTAACCCCATATAGTCAAAATATTATCATTATAACATATATCAATATAAAAATAATGAAGGTGATATTTCCTGTTTTTGTACTAAGTATTTTTTTT